TTCATAGTGAGATATATGAAATACATACTGTATTTTTATATAGAAAAGTAGAATGTTTAAACCATACAAAATTTTAAATTTATTGACTTAATTACCTCACGATAGCCAGACTGTTTGCTACATACCGGATCTTCTCAAGGTAGTTATGTTACATCATACAATGTGTTAATGAAGTGTTTTTTTATGCGAAATGAGCTCTGTATTGAAAGAAAAGCCTCGTCAGCAGCGCAATAAAGTCACAGCCTGGCTACAGGAAATTGTAAAATACATATACAGGCATAATACTGTTACGACAGCGGAAGTCACATGACGCTGGTAGCGTGCGTGAAGTTTCTCGAATTATCGGGGAAGTCCGAGTTTGTTTGAAATGCCCTCTTGTTTAGTATATATGCCTGGCAGAGAAAAGCCAGGGGATGATAAAGCGAACAGTAGTTACAGTGAGTTACGGGTAATTTACGATTCTGTTTCGAACTAGTGTGTGTTTTGCACTCGTAGAGAGCAAAAATATCGAGATTGTGAATCGCTGTGATTTATAGCGTATATTATAAAAGTTATTAAGTTTAAAGTGACGAGAAACGTACTGACTGTGAAATTACTGTGTACTAAAAGTTTGTATCGAGGAAGAATAAACTGGTTTAATCAAGAAAGGACTTTTATCGCTGAAGTTCCTCGGAAAGAATTTCTACCGGAAGTTAACAAACAAGCAAATACGTAACAAATACAAATTCATTATAACATGGTGATTGCAGCTGCTCAAAATCAGGCCTACGATGGTTTTATTGTCTTGAAATTTTTACATGTTCTACGGAAATTCCTGTACTCTGAATTCGAAAATGATATCCATTTTTCCCCATCATGTAAAGATTTTTCATAAAACGTCATAACGCAATAAATAAAAGAAATACCACAACACGTAGTTTTGAGACAAAAAGACGTAAATTTCACACAAGTCTGGATGAATGCGGATGCATATTCGTTTGATATCGGTGTTCTTCCCTTTTCTTCAATTTGTTTGTATTTTTGTTAACAAACATAATAATAAAAAAATGTTCATTGTGGTAAACGAAATAATAATTTGATCTAACTAAGTTTTTGTACTTTCCGATTTGTAAAAAATCCTTACGTAATAGAAAAAAATTAATATAATTTTCGACATCTGCGTAGCTGAATTATGGAAAATCCATTATTAAAACTAAAACAACTTTTATGAAGTTTAATTTCGTAGGCTTGTGTTATAAATCATAAAACATGGCGTAACACTATGAACTTTGTTTCCTGTAACGTTTATAGATGAACGTCTCTCTCAGTATCAGAGTTATATTTAGATACACAATAAAAACGAAATAACACGTTTTAATATTCCATTATTTATCTGAATTTTGAAACTTAAATTTTTGGAAGTTTGAAGGGTAATACAGTTTCTTTATGGCGGTACTAAGTTTAAACTCTCGTGACAATGTTCTGTAAGTGTCAATGGAAGTGGAAGAGTTAAGGGTCATAATACATAATTTAATTCGGCATTTCAATTATTAACCAAGTGGGAGTATAAATAAAAATTAGAATGATGTCAAAACTAAAATAGAAAAAAAGTTAATGGTAATATTAATATAAAAACCACCTCAAAATTATAAATACATATATATATATAAAGTTTTTGAGTCTCCGGGTACGAGATAGTGGACTGGTTCAATTATAGTGTTGAAACAAGTACAGCAAGGATGTTTTCAATCTTCCTGAAAACTGTTGCTCGTGTGTGTGTATCAGTCTGGGGTGTCTCTTCTTAAATGCCCAGGACCTTCTGTTTGGTTGCAGTGAGTTTAACCTCCTCGATCTTCAATACTTCATCTTATCCTCACCTTTAGTGATCCCTTACTAGATCCCCATCTAAGTGGTAAAGTGGGTTTGGCTGTTTTGTTTTCGCTATACGAGTGTAGTCATGTTCGTTTCGGCAGGAATCCTTGATAAAGGGAGTATTGGTGTTTCCTATTAGTGGTTGTTAGTGGTGTGTCTAAGACATGTTGAATCCATACTCACAGACATGTCATTCCATTTTAAATCTAACACGAAAGAATGGGAAAATTCTAAAGTGCAATATGTGGCCTGGCATTGGATTGATTTTACTGTAACTTTACAGCACACAATAAAAACTTAGAACTGGTACTTTAATATCCTGTTCTTGTAATCTTCCGGGCCGAGAGGAATTGACTCTTCTGCTCTTCACAGTTGACTCCTGTTAATATTAATATCATGATTTTTATCTTTATTTCTGAATCTGGTCGCAGAACTAATTGAATGCTATTGTACTTTTTTGGTTTACTCTTCTTCTTCTACGATGTGGTCTTAAATATCCTAGTAGTGTCTATCAACATCCAATGTCTAGTTGCAGAATGTCAGGTTTGGGGTATTGTCGTGGACAAATTGCATACAATTGTTATATTAGGCCTGCTAATGTTATCCTTTAGTCTGTAATGTGTAAGTAGCATTTGTGGTGTCGGGAATTAGGCCTCTAAAGCCAGTGTTTGGGTTGCCCACGAGTAGGTACTTCATGTAAATATGTCTCCATAATCGTCGGAAGAGTAATGGAAAGAGTGTTTGTATGGTTATTTGGAAAAGTAGCTGTCAACAACCATAATATTTTTATGCATCATTTTGTTTCAGGCCATCGACTAGTGAAGACCACA